GGGCGGCGGCGGCGGCGGCGGCGGCGGCGGCGGCGGCGGGAGAGGCTCGGCTCGGCTCGGCTCGGCTCGGGCTGCGCTCGGCTCGCTGGGCTCGGCGCGGCAGCTCCGAGAGCACGGTCTCCGCCTCTCCCCCTCCCGCGGTGGGCCCCGCACCGTTTAACCCTCCTGCTGCCGTGCCGCAGGAGTGCGCCCAGCTGGGTCCCAGGTGGAGGGTTGGAGAGGGCAGCGGAGGATGACCGCCAGTCTGATCCCCCGGGTTATGGTGGCGGGCTTCTCCACCCCTTTCACCCAACTCCGTGGACATCCATGTTCATCCCCGTCGGCGTCTGAGATTCTGAGTCACCTAAGGCTCTGCGTCCCTAAACGCGTCTCGGTCCCTGGTGGAGATGGCAGAGCTCTGGGGATCAAGGTGGGGCTGAGGGTGGTGGTGAAGACCTCGAACCATCCTTGGATTATCCCAAGGCTTGATCCCCCATTCCACTCCGGTCCTGTTTACAATGCATTCTCTCCGAGGCAACGCGAATGCTATTTAAAATAAGTAGATCGAGTTGCATTACTCAGCTTTTTTAGCACTCAGATTATCCAGATTCCTTATTGTGACTTACAAGGCCCTATATGACCTGTCCACTAGTTTGCTTTCTGATTTCCTCTCCTAACTCTCCTTATGCCCTAGCCACGTTGGACCTGATCTATGTTCCTAGAACTAGAGGATCTTAACCTGCCACTGGGCCTTGGCACTTATGTTCCCTTTGCCTGGAATGTTTTCCCCTGGCTTTTCACAATGACTCACTCTTTTCATTAAAATTTTACTAAGATCCAATGTCACCTCCTCTGAGAGGCCTTCCCTAGCCTCTCTATCAAAAGTAGCTTCCCCTCTGACTCTATCCTACCCCATCCCTCTCTACCATGTTTTATTCTGATTGTACTCCTAGGATGCCACACACTCCTACTTTCCTTCCAACCTCACTGGCTTTCCCTTCCCCAGTCTTCTGCTCGACCTCTAAATGTTAGTGCTTGCTAGGGCTCAGTCCTTGGCTCTCTTCTCTTTCCACATTCTCTGTCCAGTGATGTCATCCAGTCCCAGGCCTTAAATACTATGTAAATGTCAGCGAGTCCTAAATTTATAGCCAAAGCTCCAGACTCATTTACCCAACAGCCTGCTTGACATCTCCACTTGGACGTCTAATAGCCATGTGAAACTAATGTGGCTAAAATAAATGTCTTGAAGTCTTCCCCCGCCAATCCATTGCTCTCCGTGTGACCCATGCTGGGACATGACAACTACTTGTTCAGGCTGAAAACCTAGGAAGCATCTTTCCCCACCTTTCCCTTTTCTCACTGATTCTTGCCCTGTATCTAATTCACCTGCAAGTTCTGCAAGGTGAGCTCTGCATACAAAATATATCCTGAATCCCTCCACTTCTCTCCTTCTATGTTACTTCCATCCTGGTTCAAGCCATCGTCGCTCATCTGGAAGAGGGCAATAGCTTCTTAGCTGGCCCCTTGCCTCTGCCCTTGCCCTTTACAAACTAGTCTTCACAATATCTAGTAATATTTTTATAATCTAAATCATATCATGCTCTTTCCTGCTTAAAATATTTGAGTGGCTTTTCATTGTACTTGGAATAAATCTGAACTCATTGTTAGGAGAGGCCCTCTAACCTGTACTCCTCCTCCGTGTTCAAACAATGCTCCTGCCAGATCAGATTTCTTGATGTTTTAGAACATCTGAAATCATTTCCTCAGCACCCCAGCGCTTTTGACTCTCTCTTCCTGAAAACCTTTGCCCACCCCTCATGCTCTTCACCTGGTTGGCTCCCTCTTGTTATTCAGTCACTTTATTTCATCAATATGATTTTTTTCCTTTTTTAAAAAATTTTATTTTAGAGAGAGAGAGCGTGCACACAATCAGGGGGTAGGGCAGAGGGAGAGAGAGAGAAAGACAATCCCAAGCAGGCTCTTTGCTTAGCACAGAGCCCAATGTGGGGTTTGATCCCATGACCCTGGGATCATGATCTGAGCCAAAATCAAGAGTTGGTCGCTTAACCAACTGAGCCACCGAGGCACCCCTATTTCATCAATATGTTTCCAACTCATCACTCTCTGAAATGATCTTATATTTGTTTACTGTTCATTGCCTCCCCCCACCCCTGCCAGCCATACACTAGAGAACAAAGATCTCATGTGGCTAGTTCACCCTGTATCCTACCTCAGAGTCTGGCACATAGTAGATGTTCAATATTTATTGCTTAGTAAATTTTACCTGGGACCCCTGCCCACTCTGAATTCTTCATTCTCTTCTCTGCTCTCCTCTTGCCTTTCCTCTCTGTCTGCCTGCCATCCCTGATCTCTGCCCTGTGCTGAGTGCTTTAGGTTGAGTCTCTGCTCACACCCACGCTCCTCCAGATTCTTGCCCTCCATCGTCTGCATTATTACTGTCATTAGCCTGGCACTCCCGCCTCCCGGAAGGAAGCCTGCTGTTCTGACCAGCATCTGCAGCGGTTGCCCTCCTGTTTGTCCCTGACAGCCCTTCATTCCGAGGTCAGAAACAGCAGTGAGTGAGCCACCCTCCTAGTGTTTCCCTGTGGTCAGGGAAAAACAGTATACAGTGAATGTGAACCAGACTATGTGAGGCAGGGTGTGCAAATCATGCCATATCCTGGGCCCCACTGAACCCCATAGCCTGAGGATATGCTGTAAGAGGACTCATTAAATGATGGGTGTGGGTGAAATTTATCAAGTCAGTATTCACTACCCGTGTAAGTGCTTTTCACACCGAGGACTTTGGATCATTATCAATTATTTCTAGTATTCTTTTTTTTTTTTTATTTTTAAAGTTTATTTCTCTATTGAAAGAGAGAATGAGTGGGGAGGGGCAGAGAGAGAGGGAAAGAGAGAATCCT